CAGAGGTTACACCCCTACTCTTTTCGAGAAACACTCTGGGATTTTTAATGACCACAGAGAGTTAGTACCTCGGTTTTACGTCTCATCCGACACTATAGTGTCCCCATCACTGTACTGGGGCATTAGGACCCACATGGACCACAGGGTGAGCGACCCCTGCTGGCCCCACTAATACCTCTTCCAGCAGCAACCTTAGTCCCATTCAGGTACTGACCAGGCTCACACTTGCTTAGCTTCAGTGGGTTGCCAGTTGTGAGTTGCAGGGTGATATGGCTGCTGGCTTATACAGCTGTAGATATCTGTATTTTCCATGTACATGGTCCAGTTTATTGAATTGTCTTTTTTTTTCTAGCCTTGCATGTGGCACCAGTAGAATTTAAGATAAAACTTACATTTTACTTGTTGCAGATCAATCCCAGCTCAGGGCAGACATGATACTGTATCTCAAATATAAAAAAGGAGAATAAATTCATTTCTACAGCTGTATAAGCACAGTCCCATAATGAGCAGAAGACATACTGTAGGATGTAGTGTTACCAGAGCCACTCTTTATAGGTAGGTAACAACCTAGCCACACTGAACCTACTTGGCCACTAATCTGGTCTTTATTGATGAAAAAATGGAAAATTATATGTTTTAATATGTGATTGTTTAAGTCAGGTCTCCTCATGCATTGAAGTGAAAATTAGATACTGTACCTCAGGAGTTCTTCAGCACTGTAGGTTTCCAAACTTTTAGTCATTTAATAATCAATTGAACATTTTCTCCACTTACTGTGTGTTTTTATAGAGGGGAACTCATTATTTCCAGACCTTATCTGTGTCTGGAAATTACAGTATCAACTTAAAATATGAAATATATACACAATTTTACAAAAAGAGTTATGCTTTGCACATGTTCTCTGTCTTGGAGATGTAAAGATTTAGATCTGGCTTGACAGACCCATGCTTTTACATGAGTTTTTATATCTTTGCATAAACGTTTTTTTTTACTGAAGCCAAAAGAGCTTTTTTAAGTTGTTGTGTTTTATTATTGAATTTCTTTTTTAAGACTAAATAAGATTAAAAAATACATTTATGCTTCAATGTCTAATACCTTAAAGTATACAATACTGAGCATTTTATAAACATTTCCTTTTAAACATTTTTATTTATTTACAGTATAGTGCCAATGAATCATTTTATTTACCATTTATAATTGAGAAATTTCAGCACATCTAACATATCTTCATATCAGTTGTGGCCTATGTTATTTTAAAAAATAATTTAAATGTGGCTGATTTCTCTGCTCAAAAGCTATAGTTCTAAGATCACCGTCTGATGTTACTTCTGATGCATACTCTGTGTTTCATCTGTACTGTAAATTACTGTAATTATAGTTCTGTAAAGTCAGTACTATAATGTTTTTAAACACAGGCTCAGCATATTTATGTATGCACATTCATACACATATATTAGCTGTCAATTTTAAACCTTTAGCTCGTTTACACAAACAGTTTTGTAGATAAACTGTATTTATTTAAAAAAACAAATAAAAAATACATTTTACTAATATTTCATTTTATTAGACCTTGCCCACCTCGGATTCTGTATTTTTTTCTGCTACCATTTAAACTTGATATTTTTGATAGCCAAGTCTCATACCTGTGATTGAAAAACTGGCCTGAATTTCAGGAAATTGTTTTCTAGAAAGGTAACCTGGATCATTCCTTCCAATATTGTTTTATTATACAGTACTTTGTTCGATTCACCTACTGCTTCTGGTTTACTCACCATTTTTATATTTAAGACTTTCCCTCAGTACTATCAAAAAAATTCTTCAGAATGTTTGATGCTAATAAATATCATTCTGCACAAAACATATAGAGGAAAAAAAGAATTCGGGAGACCCTCATCTAAAAATTGTTTTCCACATCTTGTATTTTTTTAACCACAGGTTTTATTGAAATTGTACATAGTGATTTTAATGATCACAGATAGATATTTGATGTAATACTACTGTATATTTATGTAATAAGAGTAATAAGGACCTTTGTCTTATTACTGTATGTGAGACAGTCCTTTATTATTTAGAGAAGTGGATTCTTGAATTGAAATGAAAACTGACATATTTGATTTAGCTGTTGCCAAAGAGCAACAGCCATAGTTGTAGAAATTAATTTAGTGTCCTTTATTATAGTGAAGATATCATGTCTGCCCTGAGCTGGGATTGATCTGCAACAAGCAAAATTTAAGTTTAAGCTTAAATTCTACTGGTGCCACATGCAAGCCTAGAAGCAAAACAAAGAATAATCAAGTGAAAATCTGGAGAAATAACAATCTATTTTACAAAAAGCCTGGTGCAGAGAATGGGGTTGGGGTTTGTCTGGTACTTTTTTCTAGAACAAATGGGTCATGATGCACATGCACTTTAATGAAAGGGCCACTGAAGTATTGGAAATCATACCATAATCAACTACAATAGAGTAGTTGTCAAGTATTAAAATGGCAGAGGATTCTAGTAGGATCAGAAAACACAAAGAAAAGATTTTAAAACATACACCATGTCCATTCTTAATACTCATGCCTTAAACTTAGAAGTTAGGAAGAAAATGCAAGAAACATAGGATACTACATCAACATGAAACTATGACATTATACAAGTATGGCTAGGAGTGGATGATGATGAAGATGATACAGTGTGCATTTTTGGAAGAGGTGGTAAATGTGGGACCATATATCAACAACAGCAGGCAAGACAGAAAACTAGAGCTAGATCAGTTTTAATCCATCTGTACAGTACAGGTTAAATGAGGTAAAAGTATGTAGAGAGTGTAATGTTACTGTATATTACTAGAAGATCCCAACATTACAAACATAAATTGAGATATGGGGGATGAGACAAACAGCACACCATTCATTCGATAACACTGTAAAGTGAGAGGTACATGGCAAGCTGTATGAGCCCACCAGCCCTGATGCCATTTCTGAAATTCTACATCTCAGCTCGGGGAATCCCAATCACACCGACCATATGACAGTCTAAATACAAGCACATGACTTCTAAACTACAGAGATTAACCAGTGTGGTTTTACGACTGAAATGGGTTCAAGCAACAGAGATAAAAATGCATTTGTTGGTGTAAAAAATAAACTTAAGACATATATTTATTTAATATATTTAACAATACTTTATTAAACATTTTAGGCATTAAACATTGCTTCTCAGTATGAGTCCTGTATATTACCTTTTGTAAACTTCCTCAACAGCTTTTTCTTTTAGATAAACCTTGAACTCCCTACTCTTAGTGTATTCTGTTATGAAGTACAGGGTAATACAGTATTTAATAGAAAACACTGCCTTCTTGAACTGATTTTTGATTATAATGGAGATGGTGACGACCCCAATTCCCCTTTGGAATCTGGCTTCATATGTCCTTTTCACATTGACAAAGCCCTTCTTCTTTAACTGCTGAGACTATAGTCTATGTTTATACATTGCAGTTCATCTGACTTCCTCCTTTTTCACAAAGAAAGGCAGAAGATATACAACCTTTGTGCACTACACATGCTCTTTCCATGAACCCAGAAAGGTTCCAAGAATAAAGGCTGAAAAGATTCTACAAATTTCCACAGCAGGGAGTCTTGCATCAGAACACTCTTTCTGGTCAGAGCTTTTGTTCTGCACAGGCTTTTTGACAGCTCCATAAGGATGTCGATTTCTGAACATGGTGCTCTGAATAAATTTAATTAAATGTCTTTTTGTTTAAAAAAAGAAAGCTAAAACTTATTTCTAGCCCTTCTTTGTATCTCTGTTTTTAAAGCATTTATTAGTAAAGAGGTCATTTGCTAGAAGCCAAAAGGGTACTCTGCATGAATACTTTTTTTTTTGTTTTGTCCTAAGAAGGTATTCAAAAAATAATTTCCTGCCTGCTAAAGCCAAGAAAAGCAATTAAGTATTTTTTCAGGTTTCTCCACATTTTCAATTATCATCTGCAATGTTCCATATTTCTTGTGGAATATGCAGTGTATATCTCTAATCGTCAATCTATACATCATACAGTACATGCTGTAAATGTTCACAATGATAAATGTATCACTTTTCAATGAACTAATATAAATAATACTAATAGAAATCAATTATATTTTTCTCTATACAACTTTTATTATGAACAATTTACATAAAAGCTATCATAAAATTAAAGTTCTGTTGATTCTATGGATTGATATTGAATTTATTCCTTTGAAGATGTGGATTATAAGTGCATAACAGGTGCAAAACCTCTAGTACTCTCCCCCACACAATGTCACATTAAAATTTGCATGATAGTAAGTCAAAGCAGGCAGACTGATAAAAAAAACTATAGACTGTAATGCATGAATACCAACCCAGAAATAAGCTCTATTTCCCTCTTGGCTCCACTTTTGGTGTTGCTGAATAGCTCTATTACTGATTCATTTGCTATTCTACATATTTTACAAAAATGAGAACAACATTTTTTTATCTTCTACTCCCTTTGTAGGGAGATTAGTATTACAGAAGTACCATTATTTTTGTAATACTAATATAAAAACAAAACCTTAGATTTTTTTTACTACAGCAGATTAATATAAATATATACTGTATATATAAAAAACAAATTTTAACAAGGCCTTTCAACAGCCTTTGCTTTTGGAATAAGTTTTGAAATTTATGAGAACGGTACCTTTTTTACCCCATAGTATAACATTCTAAATTGAAGCATTGCTCAGGCAGTTCAGGAGTAAATCCATAAATCATTTGAACAAATACAGGTTTCTTTTTTTAAAAGTGTCTGGGGCCCTGTTTACATTAGTATAAGCACGTTTGACAACTAAGTTCAAAACCAGTTTACCTAAACCCTAACCCAAATCAACTGTGGAATATTAACATGGTAATGAATCACTAATGGTCAAGGTTTAAGTGTCTTATCAAACTGTCAGTACTATTAGTTACTAAGCAGACTGCATTCATAACAATAGTTTAATTTTTGTTAAACTTACCAATGATCTCTGTACTTCCATAAAAATTGCTCTTTGGAATGACTTCTCCCATACTGCCAAATCACTGCCTAGTTCAACACTGAAGTAGTGATTCTTGCCATTTCCAGCCATGACACTGAAGCAGAAAGACTTATCGTCTCGAAGCTCACAGTCCTGATGAAGGCCAAGGTACAATTTTGCTTGTAACCAGCAATCTTCGGTAATCCACAGCTGAAAAGTTTAATGTGCACAGATTAATTATACTTTTTATTTATTTGTTGATGTGTAATAGTTTTGGGACTTACACATTATAGGAAATCCATTACTACATAGATATTATGATACAAGCAAACATTATTAAATGCCATCTAACAGTTCACAAATACAATACTTGTTGGAGGTTTATAAAATTTATAGATAATTATTAATGGTCTGTCATAAGTGTTACGTACAGTATGTTTTGTATTTTTGACAGTTCAAATAAAATATGATAGAACATCTTCAGGTAAAAAAGTATTTAGTTGTTTTCTTGTTTCCGTGACTGCACCTTAATTTTAAATTGTCATAGCACTACACAATTGTGAGGATGAAAGGTTTAAATGATTAAAAAAATATGATGTCTCAGCAGGTTTTAATTACATGATCAATTATTTTTATCCACAGGTGGTTCTTTTACCGATTTGGTTATCGGTAAAATCGGTAAAAGAAAGTGGATCTCATGAATCTGAGATAAGGCTTGGATTTATTCAGTGGCAATAGTTAATTTTATATACTGTATGTACCAGAATTTAATCCTTAGTTTAAATGTACTAGTACAAATATATGCATTTATATTTCATTTTATAATTTATATTTAATATATAAAGTATAATACAAATTTCTTTCTACAATAATCTTGATGGTGATGAATAGAAGATACTGGTCTCAGCTAGTAAAAATAACAGTACATGTAATTTCTATAATAATCCCAATCCTAGCTAGAATTGTGCTTTTTTGAACTAACTTGAAAAGCTTTATTTAAATGCATTGCAGAATATTTATATTCTAAAATTTACCACCAGTTTTACTCTTTAAAGTGTGAAGGAATGTTTGTATATTTCTTAATAATAGTTTAATATTATATTTCACCAACAGTGAAAGGAATTTAAAGACCGCAAATGAAGGTTGCCACAGTGCGTGAAAACAGATGTAATTGATTAGCTAGTTACTGCAGGTTCAGGGCAGAGAGTGAGCGTCACATTCCCTGTCTTGGGATTTCCAGTGAAGACTAGAGGAGTCACAGAGTGAGGCATATTTCCACTGTGTAACAAGGTACAACATCATACAGAGTTATACCTCTCTAGAGGATGCTTTATGATCCAAGCAGTTATTACCCCAAAGGGATAAGCAACCAAATACCAGCTTTAACAGTCTGAAATACACTTGCAGTGAATGAATCCTAGTACTTATGGTTACTTTAAATAATTTGGTAAAACACATAGTATTTTTATATATGATCTGATATGATTCAATTTATGCATGGAATTACCTGAAAAATAACATCTATGTTAGTTCCTACTTATCACACATAGTAACCTCATGATCAAAAACACAAACTGAACTGAAAAACAAAAATAAAATTTTGGCTTGCATTTACAAATACTTTTGGAGGGCTCTAGTGCCAGCAGCCATATCACCCTGCAACTCACAACTGGCAATCTACTGAAGCTAAACAAGTTTGAGCCTGGTCAGTACCTGGATGAGAGATCTCCTAGGAAAACCTAAGGTTGCTTCTGGAAGAGGTGTTAGTGGGGCCAGCAGGGGACATTCAACCTGCGATCTATGTGGGCTCTAATGCCCTAGTATAGTGACGGGGACACTGTACTGTAAAAGGTGCTGTCCTTCGAATGATATGTTAAACTAATGTCCTGACTCACTCTGGTCATTAAAAATCCCGGGGTCTTTTTCAAAAAGAGAATGGGTGTAATCCCGGCATCCTGGCCTCTACCTGTCACGGCCTCCTAATAATCCCCCTCTACAGTATAAATTGGCTATTGTTGTAGTACTTTTAATCAACATAATAGGGAATATTAATATGGAATGTAAATAAAAATAGTTTCTGAATGTCATTATCAATATTTATTTGTTGATCTAAATATTACATTTATCCTAGCTGGTAGTGGTACCGTATTCCACTTTCTTGAAAACATCTGCATTTATATCAAGAACTCGTTCACTTGTTATTTTGGAAACATTTTAACATAATCGTTTTAACTACAGAATATTCTGCTGTTGTTGCAATGAACAATAAAATACTCAGTTTCTAATGTTGGGCACTGCACTTGAGCAATGCTCTGGTACAGTGGTTAAAAGCTTGTCTGCTACTTAGAAAGTCCAAGGTTTAGTTCAGGTTTAAAGCACAAATATTTTTTTTTAATTAAAGTAGTGCTGTTTTACAAAGCTAAATTACTCAGCTGGGTTTATAAAAAAATAGTTTTTTTTATTATAGCTTGTGAAAGCGATGTTATTTTTAAGTTTTACATCCTGATTAAAATAATCTATATTTTGTCTTAATGCTGATTTCAGCAACAATAATTAGGAAATTATTAGTTACATTTTGATTACAAAAAATACATTTCATACATACTGTACTGTCTTTAAAAACCTACACTATTGTTCCAGCATATCTGTGAATATTTTTCATGTGATTCATGTGTGGCACATCAAGTTATAATAAACCATTATAAATTACATTTTATTATTGGAAAAAGATGATCCCTTATCCACGTTAAGTATTCACTGTGCCACCTGGCAGTTTTACAAATTAGTGTAGTCCTGCAAAAGAATGTTTTAAAAAATGCATTAAAACAGACGATGTACTCCGCATTATACTGCATTGTTCGTTGCGCATTCTGGATGTCTGGATCTGTAGTTAATATACAAGAATGATTGTACTACAGTATAAGATAATGTTATTCTTATTGTTGTAAGGGTGCTGTTGACAGAAAATGAGATTAAGATGGACCCTATGAGACAAACTGGCGATCTCACACATACAGCGAGAAAGAGAGAAAAAACGAGGCACAGAAAAAGCCAGTCGTACTTTCTAAGTCGCGGGATCAAGAATCGTAGTTGAAGTTTAGTCTCGGGTCAGAAAGCCGGAGGATCAATAATATTACAAAAGGCAGGAGTTTCGAGAAAAAAGGCGAGAGACAAGAGCTCCAGTGGTGAAACCAATACTGAGCATTGTGGTGAACGTAGTGAGCCCTTAAGTATAGTGAGCGCGGTGAATAGTGAGAGGTGCAATTGGAAGGTTAGTTCATGCACTGGCATTTAAGGCAATTGGGAAGAGCAGGTGTCTGATTGTCTGCGGTCGTGGGAATGCGTCGGCATTTGCGGAAAGGATCTGGTGTTGGATTATTTGTGGTTGTGACAATTGTGGACCTTTGTTAGAAAGGCTTTCCTAAATATTTCAAAGCAAGAAAAATTCTATTGTACTGTTTAACAAAGATTTATCTTTAATAGAAGTATATTTATTTGCATGTAAAATAAATTAGCTAAATGTTTAAGTTAACATGTTTAAGTTAAATGTTTAAAAGATTTTCAAGGTTTTAACAAAACTTTCTTTCACCAAACATCTTGTTTTGCTTTATTAACTACTTTCCCTATTCCTATTCTAGACTGTCTATCAGATTTATTCAAGTAATCCCATAAGTATGGAATTTCAGGCCCTACAGTTGTGGTAATAGAGATGTTTTTCATTCTTTGGTATGATCTTTCTTACTGAGTACAGTATATAACTACTGGGGAAAACACTTTTCTTTGCACTTGTTCAAAATATGCTACAAACTGCTCTTTTATGTGTATAAAATAGTCAACAAGTACATTTATGGAAGGTCTTAAATTTTCAATCCAGAGGAGATTAGTTTCAAACAAGTGCTTCTGTGTTATTTTGAGTATTCCATTTGAAAGACACAAACATTTGAGATCTGAGAGAAAATCTTTGAGATTAGCCATGTTTTCCATTTGCTCAAAAACTATTCCTTTTGTAGCCACTTTAACATGTTTCTTAACAAAATTTATTTAATTACTAATAAATTATTTATAAATACTGTAAGTATTTATGAGTACATATAATGTAGAGTTTGAAAAAGTTCCCTGAACGTTTTGAAACTTATAGTAATGTCTGACTAAATAATATCCAAACTACCAATTAGTACATGACTAAAATAGATGTACAACGAAATACATATTTTTACACCAGGTGTGACATTTATTCTTAAATCATTAAAAGCATTTTAATGGCACCCATTATGCTTGCCTAATTAAGAAGTGTAAAATGTTTTACTCCTAAGAAAAGTAAATCAATTCCTAAAATAAGAATGGGAAAATGTATTTTTCCCCAGAATAGCAACAGATGTTACAAGCATTGCCAAACGTCCACCTTAAATTGTAAAAAGGCATTCATAAAATTATTTTACACAAGTTTTTATTGTCCTGTTTATAAGCACTTTAAATTCAGTCTTGGAAGAAAAAATAAAAGTATATGGTCCAAAGAATAAAATTTTAAATTTTTATGTAATTTGTAAACTCTGGGAAGTAACTTTGCTTTTTATTTCATTTTTTTAATGAGGGAGGGCGTAATTATTAGACGTAAACTACAATTACATTTTCTTTCTTTTTGTTTTTATTAAATGAAAGCTCTGCTATCTAGAAAGGGTCATTCCAAAATAAATCTACTTAAAATAGCAACAAATGTTTGGAACTTAACTCAGATTCACAGATTTATCTTTGATAATGGAAGGCTTGTTCTTTCATTTCTAAATTGAGTCAGGGTTTCAGGAACTCCAAAGTCACCAAATGCATCATATTAACTTTAGAAATTTGTGTTGTAAAATGTATTTTGTTTTAAAAATGGGAAGTTTATTACCTAATGTGGAAGGCTCGATTCATCCACTGATCTGCACAAACCACACTTATACTTCCTCAACATTATACTAGACATACTGTATTTCCAATTTCCAAGGTCTGTCCAATCATCTAAATTTCTGCCAGACCTTCATCCTAAGTCAAATAGGCTAGTCTATTGTTGTTAAAGAAATGCATTTCTTTATTTAAATCATAAAGCAGTTTGTTACAGAGAAGCATAATACTAGCTAGACTGAATTGGGGCAGTGTAGTGGCTTTGTGGCTAAGGATCTGCTCCTGTGGCTGGAAGGTTGCCAGTTTGTATCCCGCGATCGGCAGACGAATCCTACTTCGTTGGGCCCCTGGGCAAGGCCCTTAACCCCAACTGCTCCAGGGGCACTGTATAAATGGCTGACCCTACGCTCTGACCCCAAGGTTATCTCCCTGTCTGTGTGTCTCATGGAGAGCAAGTTGGGGTATGCGAAAAAAATAAATTCCTAATACAAGAAATTGGATATGGCCAATAAAGTGATCTTATCTTATTAGGGGTTAGTATGGCAAAATACATTGCTATTTATAAAGATAACTACATTTTAGTGACTTTCACAATGATTCACAATCCAAAATGATTTTTTACATCTCAGTTTGAAAAAGTTTCAGTGGAACCAAAGAAAGCTAACAAAAAGTTATAAAAGCCTTCACCTGAGGAGGATGCTTTGTACTAAGCAGAATTACCTATTTTGTGATGTACAATTCTATGATTTATGAATGGATTTTATTTCTAGGAATTTGTATTTTATATCTTTAGATGTCACAAAGGATTTCAAAGGATTTCTAACATACAGTACAATGCAGTACAGTATAAGGTACAACCTGATCAAGCATAATAAACACTTAATTTTGTTTTTTAACAGGATTATTTTTGCCTTTTCCTGGAGGTATTATATTTTGCCAAGCTAAAAATGGCTCTATATTTGATAGATGTGTCCAGAGATAATACTCTAGGTGCAACTCACTAAAAAGGAAACTGTCAAATAAAAAAACAAAAAACAAATTTTTCTTACATTTCTTTTACTGTATTAAGCCCAGAACAACCTTCAAATGTATTATAACAAACAATCACACAATGCAAGGGTCTATGCAGTAGTAATGCATTAAGCTTCGTTCTTTGATGGGTCTTCATTCAGAAGTTACTTCAACATGTTGTTCACTGTATATGTGAGCAGACAAGTCTGGTGATTTTCTTAGAAGAGCTTTCCACTTTTTATAAAGAAAAACTGAACTTTAGTCATGAACGTTAATAAAAACATCAAGTGTTAGGTATTTTGGCATTTGGGTTCTATTGTTAAGAACAATATACTGTAAATCAGTTCAGTACACTGTTGCAAACTATTGCAAAAGGTGCTATAGCACATAAAAGATTGATGGAGTTAAAATTTACAGAATTAGTTTAAAGAAGTTGTATAAATAGCAATTCAAAAAGACATGATTTCAGTTTACACAAAAACAGTGAAATACTGTATATGACATCGCCATGCTTAAATACTGAAAATCATCTGGTAGTTTGCGATAAGACTGCAGGCATAAGACTGCAGTGAGGAATGTTACGGATTGTGAGATGCACTGCTTCAACAATCAGCAAACTAGGTCAGAAAAAACAGCAAAATTACTCTGTGTATGCCATGTCCTGGAAGGGGTTCACCACATCATTTTGGTGCCCTCATATCTATTTGATTCATCTGTGAAATAATTTCAGCTTGTAGTGTCCATAGCACAAACCAATCTAGAAAAAATAAACAGCCTATGGATAATGCTCGCCTTTTACATGGAACTGACCTATTCATACAGTATGTAATAATCCAGCAAATAACTGAGATGTCAGCAGAGAGTGCTGGAGTATTTTTTTCAGTGTTGAATAGAATTTTGACCAAAACAGGTTTGATGGAATCATCTTTTTATGTTCTTTATACTGTGTTTTGCATTGTTCAAGCCTCTGGGCGTTACAGAATGATGTGTGACTCATGAACACATGAACGTTTTTGGACGATGCAAAACTACAGAATTACAAAGGTGTGGTTTCAAGAAATCAAAGTGAAAGTCTTGTTGCCAACGTTTGCCCCTTGAAATGACTCCAACAGACCATTTGTGGTAAAAGCTCACCAATGCCATCAATAAGAAACAACTGCAACTTGTTAGATTTCAGGTGTTGGCTACTGTTACACAGGAAGAGTATTCTGTGTATCCATGTGCTTTTTCAGGTATATTTGTGAGCACTAACAGATGTTGTTTAATATTTACAAAGGTTGTACTTGTTTATTGATTTGAGTTCTGTTCACATTTTCTATTGTTTGCTGTGTACGCATAAAAAATTTGATTAAATGCATTACACTTGTGCATTGGTATATATTGTATTTTTTTTAATCAGAAATCCAAAAGAACTTCTCTTTAAGCTTAAAGCTGAGAAATAATTTTAGTAAGGTCTAGACATTTATAGTTGTGTTGCATATACTGTAATTCCACTTGCTATTGACACTTACCTTGTGTACCTTAAAGAGAACCTCACAGAGGTTATGGATTGTTTCAGCTCGTGGCCAATCTAATGTACTGACCTGAAAAATAAGTAAAAGCACACACAGTATTTTTTTACATCTTTTATAATACAGTGCCTGAAAGCTTCAACAACATTTTTTATGTCAACACACAGATAAGATAAGAGATATTAGCCAAGTCAAAATTAATTTAACAATTTTGACTCAGTTAACATCTGAGAAAAAAAATCTATCAGCATACATGTTTTTGTGATCAAATGTCTACTAGTGTTGTTTAATCATGGTATTTTAAAACTTAACATTGCACAAAAAAAACTTTTTTTTTTGCATTCAAGAAACTAGCTCTACACATACAGTACACCTGCATTACTATTTGAAAGAATAAGGCTAAAATAAGGCTAACCTCAGAGTTAACTGGAGAACATGAAAAGGAGTGTGTTGGGCCGTTCTTTTAAGTTAAAGTATTTGTGTATATTCTTTTTGATATGCTTAACATTTCACTGTTAATCTGTATATTGATATTAATCAAAATAAAAATAGAAATGTAATGGGACAAAATATAGGGATTACAGGCTACAAAGTTCCATAATTACAGATTAGTTTAAAATTAGTCCTTTGACATAGTGCAAGAAGACATACATCAATACTGCACATCAATAGTTAGAAATCTGCTTTTGCAAAATAAAGGTGCACACTGTGCTCTTGTAGATTAAAACTAACCTTCTGTAAGCAAATTTGCAGCAAATTTTACACGTATGGTCAGCTGTGCACATTCATAAAAGGATGGAGTGCACAATCCTGTGCTCATCTCATCTATAATTTCACATTCTCCAAAGAAGCCTGAACATTTTTTCTTCTGCATACAGTCTTTTCCAACCTTCATCACTTAAAAAAGCTTCATGGTATCTTTCTCCTTTATTTTTAATTTATTTTATGTGCTATTTTAACAGGAATGCAGACAAGGTTTAAAACAGTGATTATTGGCTACAGGATTCAAACACACTTAAAAACACCTTTCATTTTGCACTCTCTATTTTAGATAAACTATCCAGCTCATGTTGGATGGGTTTAAGAAGTGTGCTGTATACAATCTATACATACAGATGCAGCCATTCAAAATGGGTGGGGTATTTTGCGTTATACCCCGGTGGGGGTGTCGCATCAAAGCGCAGTATCACGCAGTATCACGAGGTATATCGCGTCATTTGACGTCATGCTGGAAAGTATCTGGCATCACCTTGTAAAACCACCACGAGGAGCCAATAAAGCTTAACCTCTCATGTACAGCATTTGGCTTTTAAATTTAAACTGTGTATTACAGCATGTTAATCATCAGTCATTAAAATGTTGGTATATTTTATGAAAGCAAGATTGCTCAGTTGGACAAAAGTACACAACCTACCTTTATCAGAAATATTCATGC